GAAACATTTAGGTTAACAATTCAAATGAATGCACCATATTTGAAAACAAACATAAACAATTCAAATGCACCAGATCATAGTTCCACTACGAGTATAAGTAAACCTCATCCAATGCAACAAACACCTAAAACATTAGCATAACTTGTGACAAAAGAAACTAGATGAACAACGTCATCCGAGTTGGGGACGGCCGGCAGCGGCGTCAAGGTTGAACAGGAAGGCATGCGGACGCCTATTTTGTACTTTATTTTGCTTGACTTATTTGGGTTTAAATTTATTCTATTTTTAAAATAGTTATCAAGACTTGTGTTTTCGCTTTTAACATTCTTGGTTTGGTGCCTCTCTCCTTTTCTTTTCTAGCCATTGTAGCCAGTAGGTCAAGGCATATTGAGACACACGAATCTCGTTGGATTTGACATGGATGAGAGTAGGGGGTGAGCCTCGGCTCAGCCGCACTTTCCCTTTTATAAGTTCTTGGACCAAATCATTCCCACCATGCAAGTTTGTGTACCCGGTGTGATTACATCAATTCAATAATAGCCACGATAACATAACCACCTTTTCCATAACTAGCATGGTGGCTTTCACAAATGCGAGGGTGCCATCTTTATAATGGATATTCATATTTGTAGCAGGAATGTTTTTGCAATATATTTTTGTGAGATTTGATTGTGTGGAGTATGAATATTTGATTAATATAATAACTAAAACAGAAAGTACATATAATTTATTATGTTTTATAACTGAATATCTGTAAAATATTTATTAAATATATCCTCAAAAATATATTTATTAAATATAAAATAGCTTAAAAGAATGAAAATCCACATGTTGATGTGGGCTTTTTTTAATACATCAAAGTTTTCTCACGTAGAGTTAGAGGAAGAGATGGCTCGTTCGGGAACTTTTATTCATCCCTCCGATGAATTGTCTGAATAATACACAAGGATCCTAAAATGGACCGGCCAAATAAGCTTTATTTTTCATTATAGAAAATATTAAAATGTTCAAATTTTAAAAGTGTTTGCTATTTTAAAGAATATTTCATGCATTTAAAAAATGTTCATGTATTTTATAAGGGTTTAATTTTTTTAGTTTTTTCATGATTTTTATATTTTTTAATAACTATGAAAAATATCGTGTTTGCAAGAAAATGTTCACGAGCATTAAAAATATGCCTGTCATTTTCTAGGAATGTTCATGAATTTTGAAAAGAATGTTCAAGGTTGAAAATATGAAAAACAAATCCCAAAGAAAGCCAGGGAAAAATATAGAAAATAAAAAAGAGAAGAATACCAGAAAAACAAAAATAAAAAAATCACTACATGGGTGCAGTTTGCCTAGGCGATATAGCGATATCATGTGCACAAAGTGATGAATATGATTTTCCATGTCATTCCACATGGCAGATTATTGTGCATTCTGAAATAACTTACTCCTCCGATCGATATTAATTGTCGCTGATTTAATACTAAACCAGCTACAATTAATGTGGATAAGATGGAGTATGTATTATAGTTCGTTCCGCTAAAAAGATATGAAGTACAGTTTGCATGCCTCCTCCTTGCAACTATTTTGGTGAGGAAAATAGAGATAAATAAATCGGTTAGAGCAACTCTAGCAGACTCCGCAAAATCTTGACCCGCAAAACGCGTTTGCAGTTTCACGAAGATCTCGTTTGCGGGTCAAGAACTAGCGTGTCCAAAAAGAAACCGTAGATGAAACTGCATAATAAAAAAACAGTTTCGCGGAAGAAATTGCACCTCATGGACGCGAGTAGTTCATCACGTACTACATATATTTTACATGATCAAACACTACAAACACTAGTTCATACTACATACTACATCAGTACTAGCACTAGAGGGGTGGGGATCTCACGGCGGCAAGCTCGCGGCCATGGACGACACCGTGGAGGAGCTCAATCCTTCTCGTCGGAGCTGCCATGGTCGATGTACTTCGTCCTCTGCTCCTCGTGGATGCGCCGCCACTCGTTGTCCTTCTCCTTGGCGGCGAGGTTGGCCGCGACCGCCTGCCGGAAGTGGAGGTCTTCGAGCTCCTCGTGGTGGTGCCGGCGCTCCTCGGGCTCCTCGCGCATGCTCCGCTCGGCAATGGCGGCCGCAACCGCGTCGACGTCGGCGACGAACTCCTCCGGCACGACGACTCCGCGGCGGTCAAACTCTAGCAGAGGATGGGGTACGGCCGTGCCGACGGTCGTACTCGTCAGTCTCGTGGACGCGGAAGCTCAGCGGCGGCGAGAGGCCACAGTTGGTCCACTTCCTCGCCCCACGCTTCCTCGCGCCGTTCGACCGGACGCACCGCTCGCGCTCGGGGTCGCTGCCGGAGCCACGTCCTGAGCTCCACATGAGGTCCCACATGGCGGCTGGAGGCGGAAGGGGGTCGCCGGCAGCGAGAAATGTGAAGAAAGGGGGTGGAGAATTGCGTGGCTTGGCGGCGGCGGGGGATAGGGTTTGACCCGCAAACGCGCCGCGAAACCGTAGATATGGTGGTGGGGGTGTGCGGTTTGCGGGCCGCGGCAATTTTTTTACGGGCCGGGCGAGTATGCGGGCTCTGTTCTGGCCGGGAAATTGGGCCGAGCCCGCATACTCGCCGGAATTTTGCGAGTTCGCGGTTTTTGCGGGGTCTGCTAGAGTTGCTCTTAGCCTCCAAGGAATTCACGACTAGTCTCACGGCTACATCATCATTCGATTACACAAAGAAAATACATACTATGCGTAAAATTGAAATTGGTGCATGTGTTCAAATAAATTCCACTCCATAAAAGAGACACATAGACTTTGTATATGCAACCAAATTTTAACAAGAACATTGACATTACACCAAAGAGACATACCTTACAAGAAGAAAATGAGTTATCCCTTTATTAGCTGAAGCCCACATGAATATTCAAATAAGGAAGGATTCAAATTCTCATTTTTTACTAAGATTTGATGGATTTTCATACTCCTTCCGTTCCTAAATATAAGTCTTTTTAGACATTTCAAATGAACAACAACATACAGATGTATGTAGACATATTTTAGAGTGCAGATTCACTCATTTTGCTCCGTATGTAGTCACTTGTTGGAATCTTTAGAAAGACTTATATTTGAGAACGGAGGGAGTAACAAATATCCTCGCTTCTCTTCATACCCTGCAATTCACCCTAGGACAGAAAAACTTAACTCTCTTTGCCTAAGTGGGTGTAGCAAAACTCATTAATACTCCCTCCGTCTCAAATTTTTTGTCTTAGATTCGTATAGATAAACATGACTTGATGCATCTGTATTTAGACAAATTTAAGACAAAAAAATTGGGACGGAGAGAGTACTAGCATATTAGAAAACCAACCAATTTGCTAACTACCTCGAATAGCCAAATTTCTGTGCAAGTTTATTATGTAGCAACTTGACCTCCAGGTTTCTGAATGGTGAAATAAGAGCTACATTTTATCAAAATATAAAATGTATCATTTGAGTGCAGTAGCAAGATCGGATCACCACAACGATTCTTTTCGAGTTGACTCCCTCGATCAAATGAATCATTGCTGGTCTATATGTAGGTATCCCTCTTCACAATCCTATTATTTTAGAGACTGATTGTGTATTTGTTGTGGCGTCCCTTGCAACAGAGAACCTTGATAGATCAACGTTGGTTGATTTGAAGAAGGAAGCTTTGAGCTTATCCAAGTTGATAAATAACTTTCAAATGGCTAAGATAAGTCGGACCGCCAATGTGGTGGCTCATTTAATAGCTAAGTTTAGTTTTGACAATAGATCCGATGGTATTCTTGTTAATGATGTACCGCCCTGTGTGGTGAATTCTGTATCGAACGATTGTAAGTTTCGAGATGTTTAATTAATGTAACGTGGTGTTCAAAAAAAATGAATCAGATTATGCGCTTTGCTTAAAAATTAAATGCAAGCCAGAGGTTTGACCCAACACATCCGGCCACTGCCAGTACTCTCAACAAATCAAAACACCCTCTTTGAAAATGCAGCGATCACTTTTTATTTCAACCCAGACAAAAAATAAACAAGACAAGAGCAAAAATATGTATCCGTGTCCAAGAGATAATAAAACTAGCTCGATCGATCCTACTCCATGGACAGATTCATCTCACTCACATCACACAATCGCCACGAAACCCGCCAATGCCAGAAGCACGATCAGCACCGGAGCCGAGGCGTGGGTGGTGGACGCCGCTCCCGCTGCCGGCGACTTCTTCCCGCCTGACGGCGTGGGCAACGACGGCGCCTCTGCCTCCACGCTACCAGACTCAGCGGACGAGTCACCGCCAGCAGGAGCCGGGGCGGCCTCCGGCGCGCCGGCACCGGCGAGCACGAGCTTGCCCTTGGCATCCAGGTTCTCCTGCGCGAATGCGTGCTTGGCCGGCACCCCGCCGGCCACCGCGGACCCCACTTGCCAGATGTGGTTCACGGACTCCATGCCCTTGGGCAGCTGCAGCGTGCCGTAGAGCCGCACCTTCCCGCCGGCGCCCTCGTCGGCGGCGAGCCCGGTGGCCTTGAACGCGATGGGCGTGGACGTCGCGCTGAGGGGCTTGTACCCGGTGAGGTTGTACGTGTTGACGACGTACGTGGCGCCGCTCTTGAAGGCGAGGAGCGCCTGCGCGCCCTTCATGCCGTCGCCGGTGGGGTTGATCCCCCACGACACCCAGCCGGCGCCGCTGGCCGGCTTGGCCGCGAACGCCACGGAGAGCGACGAGGCCGCCGCGTCGTAGGTCCAGTGCAGCGCGGCGCCGAGGGCCGGGAGGTCCGCGCACGTCTCGTAGCTCTTGCCGGCCGGGAACTTCTCGCTCTTGCAGGCGCCGCCCGCGGCCGCCGCCGGCGAGACAAGGACCAGCAGGGCCGCCAGCTGGAGAATGGCGCGGCGGCGCCGGTGTTGCTGCGTCGCGGAGGCCATCTTCTGCGCGATCGAGTTGGTTAAAGAGCCTAAGGTTTTTGCTCTTGGAAGCAGCTTGGGAGTGTGAGGAGGGAAGCGCCAACTTGGTGGTTTAAATAGCCAACGAGGAGGGTAGGTGCAACGTATTTGGAAGATCGTTATGACCAACCAGGAGTTGACCTGTGATCTCACGTTCACAACGGCTAAGGGAAATACTATAACTGATTTAGTTGAGTGGTATTACATCGAAAGTACAGGGCGACGTGTAATGTGGCAAGAACGCACATTTGAGTATTTTTCAAAGTTGAGGCACGAAGCTAGGAACATACGCAAATGGTAAGCATATGCGTCACATCGACCACAACGTTAACTGCTCCTTAATCACGCAAATCAACCGTATTAACTAATCCACGGAAAAAATGTACTCCCGAAAAGTCCTAACAAGGTTTATGTTGGAGTCACATTTCATTTGAATTTTTAGAAACAATGCAAGGAAACCCCGAAACAAGAGATTCACCCCCTTAACAATTCCACATGCTCTTGCATGAGTGTCTAGACTTCCCTACTTAAAATAAACTAGTTACGCACGTCACAAACAATTATCAAGTGAGTTCACATAGTATATTATTGAAACAAGTCTTGAAAAAAATATCAAAGGGATACAAAATGTTGTCATGCCAATCAAATTGTATTTTCAAATGTGAGACATCTTTGTGATCCAACAAATACGCGAAGAATCGAGTGTCCAGCCATGATCACCACCCTTTTTAAACGAACTGATTTCTGACTCTCTCCGAGATGAGTTTGCACATAATCAAAACGTCACTTCAAGGACATACAACTTGTATGATAGGAAATATAAGCTGACCTATGACCACAACAATTTGTATCTTTACGTAAATGAAAAACGCTTTGCAATAACTAACTGAAATGTAGAAGTGGTGAAATAAATGCGATGAATCATTAGTCCTATCATGTTATCAGTTAACCCATTAACTGATAACATGCCATATGCAGCAGTGACTCAACAATGAATCATCTCCTCTCCTACCATGTTATCATTTAATGAGAACAACATATAAGAACCAAAGAACAATACAAACAAATCTCTATTTTGGAGAGCCAAATCAACAACCAAAGAACAACCCCTTCATGCAAAAATAGTGCTACCTCGTACAGAATGGACACTGCAACCAACAACTATAGATTCGAATTCATCCAATTAAAGAAAAAAATTCCCTGAAAATTTAATGAAAAACTTGGTTCCAAGGGATAGGAGCCCCCACTTTCTCTTCTGTTTTTCACCCAAATTTATTTTTTGCCTCGGCCACATGTTAGCCCCCACTTACCTTCCCTGCCCCATCACCAAGGCAGGCAATAAACACAGTATTATCATACAAGAATGCACACAACTCTATAAACAAACAAATATATGTTTTCCTCTTCTTTTTTCTTCCTTTTTCTTTATTTCTTCATAATTCTTTCACTTTCTTTGCGGAGCGTGGAGGACTGGACTTCCCGGCGTTGGCGCATGGAGGTTTGAGGTGTGGTGCAGGCGGCCGATCCGGCGGTTCCGGTGGCATGCTTGGTTCTTCATCTGCGACGAAAAAATGAGTTGGTCTGTTATATTGCCTGAACTTTTCGTAGAAAGTGTGTGATAAGGTATCTACATATTAACAATTGCCAGAAAAGAAGAGTAAAAGCAACAAAAAATGCACTAAACCCATTGTCACACTTCAGTTGTACAAATCAATTTGCCCGATGAAGAAAAATATATACATTAATAACAAGAAACATTTAGTACTCGTGCTAGCTTATCTGATGGGATATAGTGAAGAAGCACAAAGGATGAGCAGCATTTAGCAATGATAAGAGTATATTTGATACCTAAATTTACCTGCCAATTCATCACAGATATATTTAATACCACTATACAGAAGATGACAGAATTAAAGGGAGACCCAACGATTCCAGGCAATTACATTGATCACCCTACTGACATAAGATCGAGCAAAGAATTAACATCAGCTACGGATAGCAAACAATTTCTGTTAAAAGATTAAATGAGCATGCCCCTGTAGCTTGCAAATGAGCATTACACAAGCTCTTGCATTTAATTAGAACCTGGGTTAGCAGGAAGAAACAAATAAAATGTAAATAAAGAATAGCTTACCTTCAGACTTTGGTACATGATTTTTCCTAAGAAGGCAGGGAAGATGAACACAATATGTATACTCAGTAGTCGGGCTTGATGAATTAACAACCTAACAACAGCAGCAAAATAATACATTAGATTCAGAAAATCATCTATTGTAGCAAGCCATGAATCGACCATTTGAATTATCTGTCGAGGATAATGACAACAACAAGAAAAACACATATTAAAATCACAGACCACAAATTGACACATAGGGTACACTCAAGTAAGTGTGAACAAATGTACTTGTCAGATAGTAGTGTCATACAACAAACTTCAGAATTTAGTACATCTCTGAAATCAGGCCAAAGTCTCATAACATAAAATCGTCTTCAGTTAGTAGTGTCGTAGATCAAATGCCAGTCATCTTTCCAATCACACATATGAGTAATTGCTTGAGAGATTAAGCCAGTTGTTTGCTCTGAAAAAAAGGGAAACCATATAGCAGACAGTCAGTTGCTTTCTCCAAAATGAAAGGGAAACCAAAAAGAAATCAATCTCAAAGCCTACCGCCTGAATAATCTTGAGAATAGGAGGATCCTTTAATGTGAAGATCCTTCGCAAAGGCCCATTGAAATATACAAAGATCATCAACGCGCAAAGCATTCTCATATGAAAGTACTCTAAATCTTACATGCTACATTTCCTCAATACAGTAATTGGTCCACTTTCATGAACATCAATTCTATGGTTTCCATTGGTTGTAAGTACCATGATCTGACATTTTACAAAATTCAGCAATATTTCACAGATTGAAATGGTAGGTTATTCATCTACATAATCAGGAGAGGAGTATGTAGCAGAGGAGTTCCCGACACGGCACGGATCGTGTAACAAAGACATCAATAATACGTTCAATTTCTGGTACATACAGTGAGGGAAATCCTCTGCTTGCAAGAGAAACCAATCTTCTGAACCACTTGATAATCCAGTAATGAAATTTATATTTTATAATCTGCAAGGTCAAAGAGTTTGATGAGCACGACAGAATTTCAGTGGCATTGCAATAACATTACCAGATTATATTGGTCTTGCAGAAACCACTTTACTAACTCAAATGAAAGGGGGAAAAGCATAATGAGGATGAAGTTCTTGCGCAGAATGGCACATAAAAAATAGACCACGATTTTTTATGCATTGAACCTGACACTCACAAGTCACGAAATACCTCTCCAGTCAGAATTATTAAAACTGCAAAATACAATATCATGATTGCCTGAGATCCGATCATGAAAGGTCAATTATCATAATCTACTTTTCATACGTAGTAAGTGGTACTCAAGGTATGGTGTCACTGTGATAGCCCACTTCAAAATAATTTCGTTAAATAGTTGCAAGCTAAAGAATTTAAGACCATCTTAAATCATTCAGTTAAACATTTCCATGCAAAAGAGTTTCATCCCCTCCCACTTAATCTTGTTTTACTGGCAGAGTTGGAACTCCACTCCTATGTACTCCCTTCGTTCGGAATTACTTGTCGCAGAAATGGATGTATCTAGACATATTTTAGTTCTAGATACATCCATATCCGAGACAAGTAATTCCGAACGGAGGGAGTAAACACAAACAACTGAGTTAAACATGCCACAAATGATTTTGTTACTACCTCAAGGCAGGTGTGCAGAAAGAATATTGCACTTCTTACCAATCTTGTGGATCTGAAGTTTGAAATCAACATTTGGACACTGGAACTTGTGAGCTGTGAAATCTGCCAAAGAAATGAGAAAAAAGCAACAGTAAATGATTGAAGAAAGAGAGGCCTATATTGGAATCAAAGTAGATCAAACATTGTCAACCAGTACATCCCGATACGTTTTGGTCGCCCCTAACCACACTGCGCTCTAGGAACTATCATTCACAGATGCACGCTTCAGATTTCAAAGAACACAATTTGAAGAAACAAGATGTGAGATTGGCGACAACATCACAGTTATCGCCGTACACTCCGGGATCCAAATGTACAACGCAGAGGAAACACGACCTCACCCGCGCTGTACGAAGACGTTCCACCACTCGGAAAGCTGCCCTGGTCCTTGGCCAGGTGACGGTGCCGCTCTGCCTCCAGTGCAGAGCATCGAACACGGCAGCCGCCATGGCACCGTTGCGCGCCTGTCCCACAAGAGCCGCCACGCCCCACACCCAGCGTTGCATCCGTGGCCGTCCACTGCGTGCCGCGCCGCCGCCGCTGCTTGAGGGAGGAGAGGGTCCCCGCCGTCACCGGCGCAGGCCGAGCCCGATGTGTCCTGCGCCGCCGCCGCTGCCCGAGGAAGGAGAGGGACCCCGCCGTCGCCGGCGCAGGGCGAGCCAGATGTGTCTTACGCCGCCGCCCGAGGGAGGAGAAGGACCCGACGCTATCGACGCAAGTCGAGCTTCGTCCGGCGACATCCTATGGCAGCGGCGAGGATAAGAGAGGAGGGAGGTGTGGGGAACGGCGGAGGTGGGGGCTTGATCCTCCCTAGAGCAGTGGCGGTGGCGGAGGGAGGGCGATAGGAACGACAGAGGCGGGGATAGATGGACGCTACGTCCTCGCGTAGGGATTTTGAGTACTACTCGGGACGGCAGAGTTTTCGTCCGCCCAGAGAAAATGCTAAACGCGATTTTGGCTCAGGGTTAATGTAATCTAAACGGTTAGATTAAATTAAGTGATCTAATCAAGAGCTGTAATTTCTCCGTGCTGTTGTGTGTAGATTAGTCTGGGTGTAGTTAGCAGTGGATATGTTTGCTTGTTTAATAGTAGTATAGATGTAAGGTTCTACCATTCGGTGCATACTGACATGGCCATGGTGTGAAACCAACCATGTCCAACCAAAGAGATTTTTTTTTG